AGTGTTCCAACACTGCAAATCCACATTTATATTTTGCAGAGTATAAGAAAATTAAACGTGTAACATAACTGTGGCACAATATTTTTATTGTATTTTTAGAATTTAACACTTAAAAATGCATCAAAAATATAATCAGAACATATTAAATCAAAAAGAAATATAAAATTGACAAAGTGAAATATAATAAAAACATTATAGTCTTAAAAATATACTGCCGTTTTTTGCCTCTTTAATAGCATTTTTCTCAAAATTGTGACATGATACCAAATTTGGAATGTATTTGTATTCGGCAAACAAGAATACATTAGAAACAGCTAAAATAATTAAAACTATTTTTTCCATGTGTTGCCCTGTGTCATTAATAATAATAATTATATGACGTTATTAATAATTATTCTTATTAACCCTCCGCGAACCAGGTGAAGTGTGACATACCCCTCCAGCAAGATGAATTTCTATAACTTCTTAAAAAGTACCGCGCGCATGTTGCCGGTTTTGTGTAACTGGAGAGTGCATTGTTACCAATCATACTAAATTATAATATATTTATGATGAAGTATAGCATGAGGTATAAGATATACCTACATATGATTCATTTTCCACCTGGTTCGCGGAGGATTAAGAATGTAATAAAACAGAATGTAATAAAAAAAAAAGAAATTGTATGAAGTTCTATGTATTCACACGACTCTTTTCTTTTTGCAATCATTTGTGTCACTGTTGTTCGTGAGTCTAAAGGTACAGAATAATATTATGGCAGATAATAATAATTAAGAATAGAACAAAACGTCGCGTGACTCTGCGGAAAACATACATATAATAGATATTATCGAGAGGGAGCACAAAAGAAGTATTGTCACATCATTCATCGATACAAATAGTAACAGCGATAAGCGATAGTGTAACAGTCTATACACAGAATGTCCCAAAATTCGCAACTCAAAATATAATAACAAAAAGTTTTCGAAAAATTAAATAAAAAAGTTATTTGTATATAAACTTTTATTTTAAGCAGAATTTTTGAGATATGTAAGGAATTAAATATAACTAATTATAAATTACGTTTAGATGATCATCTGTGAGTATTAGTGAACGTGCTGTAGAGCATGCTCATTAACGCTCACTAATACTACCACATACACCGTACACACGACTCATAGATAGGTGATTATCTAAACATAGTTTGTAAATGGCTATATAAACCCTTCAAAATCCCCTTGTCTCAAAAAATACCGTCTAAAATAAAAATTCATAATTACACTTTTACTTAAGAATTTTATTTTAGACCGTACATGTGAGAACACAACCAATACGAACTAGAAATTAAATGCTTATACCGGTCGAAGCTGGATTTTTAATGTTTTTAAATAATTCAATGTGAATTATATATACTATATATATACATGCATATTTTCACTTTTACTTAATTTTTCGAGAACTTTCTTGCGTATAGCACTTAAGTCACGATTTTTTGAGACACCCTGTATATATATTTATTTATTTGTTTATTTATAAATACAGGCAGCGAGTATTCCTCCTATCTTTTTAGAGAGATTCTATCAACTATAACAAAATCGAAGCGAATTATTTATGCGATAACTAATATAAAAACTAATATGTCCATTTATCGCGTAATAAGGCAGAACTTATCTATATATCGCGTGTTTAAAATGAGTCCTCCAATGCGAATCATACAATAATATCAAAACCAGATTTCTTGAAAATCTAATATTATTGTAGACTATTATTAACAGATTTTCTCCTTCTATACCAATTTGTAGTTGTAAGAAATGTTTAGTTGTAAGAAATTATTCTAGAAAAAAGATAAAATCTTGAAGAAATAAATTCATTAAAAAGAGAAAAATAAATTATTTAAAAAATATAATCAATATTAGCAATTACAAAGCCTATACGGTCGAAGCTAGATCTTTGATGCTTCAAATCTTGAATCAATGATAAATTCGGCGCGCAGTTTGAAAAAGACTACAAATATGGTATATGTATATGCAAGTACACATATAGTGTATTTAGTGATTCAAGATTTGAATTATCTACTAAAGCATCAAAAATCTAGCTTCGACCGTATAGGTTTTGTAATTGCTAATACTGATTATGTTCTCACATAAAACGGTCTAAAATAATATTGTTTAAAAAATATAAATACAAAAATAGCTTCGTAACACTTTATATAATTTTAACGTTAACTGCCAATTTCATTCATCTATCCTGGTGAAATTTGGTGAAGAATTTCATAACTCAGTAATGTCGCAATTATTAAAATATTTACAATTTTAATAGTAATTTTAAAAATCAAAGAAGCATTATTTCGTATCTTTCATCGGAGGATCTTAAAATGGAATAAAGCTGCGTGGAAAAGATAAACAATCAATTCTTAATCTTGATCGAAGGCTCCAAAGATTAAATCGCAGAAGGGTAGAAAGCCAATGTGAACCAGTACAGGTTGTTCATGTGTAAGAATACCATATATTTGAAATGGAATAAAATACAGATGTTTCGACCCTTATTATTGGGTCATCTTCAATGCAAATTTGAATCAATTCATCCGTGAAAATTAAAAGTGTGTAACGGTCGCTTAATATTAATAATGTCGTCTATAAATAGTTAAAACTTAAAAGTTATCTATAGTAATTAAAAGCATTAAACGAGGTTGGCATTTTCTTCATAATAAAATTAATTTACCTAAGGAGGAATTTTTTAAAGCAATTAGTTTAGTACTTAACGCCACATACTTTAGCTTCAATGACATTTTAAACAATTCTTTGGTGTTCCAATGGGTCTCTCATCACAACTGATTTAGTCATGCAAGACCTAGAGACGCACTCGAAAAATTACCGATCCTTTTAGATCGATTTTTATTACAGAACCCTCCCCCCCTCCTCCTCTCTCTCTCTTGATGACATTGTACTCTTCATTCAAGAACATAACATTGGGCGCATTCAGCGGACTCAACAGTTGAGTGAGCGCTCGCTGCTATTGATGTATTCTTCTAGATCTAAAATTCTGATTGAATGAGCTAAAAGAATACACCAATAACAGCAAGCGCTCAATCAACTGTTGAGTCTGTTGAATGCGCCCATTGACACAGTACTAAACAATTTTAATATTTTCACTCTACGTTAAAATTTATCGTGGAGCGGCGACGTGATAATTTAAACTTTCTTGATCTAATATTGATAAAAAAAGATAACAGTTTGTTATATGATTGGTTTCATTTTCAGCTCAATATTTAAATTACTTCTCTTGCCTGATGTCAGAAAGTGGGAACGATTTTTAGTCTAACGGACAGAGTTTTATTATTGTCGCATCCTAGCTTCCACGAAAAAAACTTTCAATTAATAATATACATTTTATTTAATAACGGATATTCTCTTGTAATTAGGTAATAATGTAATTTTTAATAATATTAAAAAACTCTACATAAAATCAAACAATTAAATAGCAACGAAAGTAACACAAATGAAAACACACGATTTGCAGCTAAATCATTAACAATCTTTTTTTTACCGTTCCTTATGTTCTGTCAATAACGGAGAAATTTAAAAGATTTTTCAAAAATAATAAAACTAAGTTTGGCTTATGTGGGATTACATAAATTAAATTACTTTATTAGAGCTCGAAAGGATAAATTACCCTCTTTCTTACATTCCAACATAGTATATAGAATTAATTGTACAAATTGTGATGCATCATACGTAGGCCAGACGAAACGATTATTATTAAAAACTAGATTATCAGAACATCGTAATCACAATAGACATACTAATTAACACTCTTATTACGGAATAGGCTAAAATTCAATCACGAATTTGACTAGAACAACGTTAGGATTTTGGATGAAGAAAAAACTAATAAGCGAGTTAATCTCAGACTTAATCTCAGAGTCAATTTACATTAAAAAACAAAAGATGGATTAAATTTACAAGAGGATACTGATATGTTGGATTCTTTATATTATGGGTTATTTTAAGATTGATTTTTCCAAGTTTTCATAGTTAATGATTATACTTAGCTTTTAATTTATTTACATTCTGTTGGTATTATTTATTGTATTCTTTTCCCTACTTAATAACGATAATTTCGTTTGACCTCTCACACTCTCTCGTAATGTTTTATTGTAAGTACGTTCGACATTAACTGACTATCGTCAATTATTTAATGTAAGTTTTATTCAATACTTTAATGACAATGTGATTAGTATTTAAAGATTTATATTATATTTTTTTTATTGTGTTGTATATTACAGATAATGTAATTATTTCAGTTAAATACGACAGACAACTTTTAAGTTTTTGACTATTGTCGACATTATTAATATTAAGCGACCGTTACATATTTTTAATTTTCACGGATGAATTGTTTCAAATTTGCATTGAAGATGACCCAATAATAAGGGTCGAAACGTCTGTAATTTATTTCATTTCAAATATATGGTATTCTTACACATGAACAACCTGTGTTGACTCACATTGGCTTTCTACCTTTCTGCGAGAAACAATCAAGACACGATACAAATCATAATTAATCCTCAAGTACTGAGATTGATCCGTGGGATCATGCGAAAAAAAAAAAACGCTATATCTGTTTCATTTTCAGTATTTTTATAGACTGATTTATAACGGTTTGATTAATAAAACATAGATTTATAAAACTTCTGTGTTTTTATTTCAGTCTTTCTAATGTCTCAGGGACCAACCTCAGTAAGTATCACTTTTTTTTACCTCAGCACTTAAAAGTTAATAGCGTTTTCCACTGAGAGAACTAGTGCAGCACTGGTGTACATTGAGTACAAATCAATTCATGTATTTTCAACGTTAATAAATAATTTAACCCTTTTTATTACATGTTGTCACGAAAACTTCATAACCTTAAAAGGATTAAATTATTTATTAACACTAAAAGTATAAAAAACGATTTGCATTCAATTACACTAGTGTTGCACAAGTATTATCAGTGGAAAATGCTATAAGTTAATTGCCTTCTGCCTCTTGCAAAAGATTCGCATTATTGATAGCGCACGTATTGAAACTTGACTAGAACTAACAAACGTGCGGAGGAATAAACGTATATAATCCTTCTCCCCCCCTCTCTCTCTCTTTCTCTCATTTTTTCATTCTTCCTTTTTATTAATTTCACCAATTTTTCTGGCGTCATCTTTTCTCGCAAGGCTGGGCAGTATTTCGAATGCTAATTAGCGACTGCACATCGAAAGTCACGCTCTGTATTTTGTATTCTTAATCATATTTTATTATTGAATCACATCTCTGTACCTTACATATTTCCGAAATATGTCTTTCAAATGTTTTTCATAGTGATATTTTGACTTTAGAATACGATATTTATCGCATTTGAATTTGGTTATATGATGTCGCTACGCTTGTCTTAGAGCCTAGACACTACCGATTACGATCTCTAAATCGTAATCGAATATTTTGCCCAGCCCATTCGATTTAAATCACGAACATAATTTTCGTGTCATCACGCGTGGAAAAAAAATACATCACATATATGTATATATCGCGTATGTATTACAAACTTTCTCCCAAATATGAAAAATAAAAATAGAAAAGAGAAGGACCATTTCTCTATAGCCGCAATATTACAATTCACAGCGAAATCTAAATATTGTGCAAACGAAGTGCTCTAATCGCATGTATCTTGAATTGAATAAGACTATCAGTCTCTTTTTTCTTTTTAGAAAAAAAATCAGCGCACGCGTGATATGCGTAATACATTGTAATAATTTAACTCTACATTGTTGCAGAACATATAAATACGCAACGCGCACGCAATCGTTAGTATTATTATTGTGACAGATCGTAAAATAGCGACGTCGCGCATTGTTGCAGAAGACGTTTTCTTCCGAAGGTCTTCCCACAAACAAAGCTCGAATTTCATCTCATCTTTATTTTACTCAAAACAGAACATCCTGTAGTAAACGCCAGGATAATACGCATCAACAGGATCTCGGAAGTTTTCGTGATCGGTCCACGAATTGTGCGAATAATCATAATGTCGAGCTCCCTTACTTAGATTCAATTGCGATTCGCAAGAGCGAAACAGTTCAAAGTTACAGACCATATCTCATATACTTGGCGGAAGAATGAATTATCATACCTATACAAGTATATCCATTCCTTCCTGTGTCTCAGTCCTTCGCTGTACAGCCATATGCAGGATACCGACAAGAGCATTCGTGTCTGTGTTGAATTTCGATATTAAAACTTTGTCACAGTATGGCTACATTATGCTCTAGCTAAATCGTTAGGTTACCAATAAAAATAAGCTTCTGTAACGGTGTTTCGTGACAATGTCACGCACTGCACTTTAAGGTTTTCACCGACGACGTCAGAAATTCGTAATAATACTACGATGAGTCGATTTTTAGTTAATCTCCAGTCAATGCTCTTCTTCCACACTTAACTTATAGTCAGCACATGTAAAATTTGCGAACATATTATGTACAAGTAGTCTTTAGATCCGCGTTGTGCATCGTGATGCACTTTCCGTTTACACGACGATGATAATAGTGATGATGACGATGACATCAATGATTCTTTATCGACGTTTATTCATCTTTGGTTGAGGCAATGTACGCTTATTTGAACGTTCGTGGATCGCTGGACACTTATCACGGAACTTTCTCGCGCACATGTCCGCCCAAACAATATTTAGAACAATTTAATCTCGCTCTTGTTGCTAATTTTCAAGCATTATGCTGCCGTTTCATCATCGACTAAATTGTGAAGATCCGAGTAATTTACGATGGCACGATGAAGAAACTCATATTGCGCCTAGCAACACGCACAATGATAAATATTATACACAAAATACAATTACAGTATATAATACAATAATATATAATATAATAAATACAATAAATAATATTTAATTGTAATCCTCAAACTTGTAATTTATTTTCATCATAAATAATTGAAAAAAAGTTAAATGATAGGAAATAGAAAAAATATAGATATCTAATACTTTACATATTTCAATTGTAATACAATATATTAACTGTTATTGTCTATTTTTTAAATAGATTAGCCAACTTTTTATGTCAAAATTCGTAGATAATACTAAATTTTTTATAATAACACGATATAGAGATGAATATAGAGAAAATTATGAAAGTTATGATACTTACGAAGGTGCTGATCATGCCGTGTCGCTGAGAACGCAATTTCTTCGTCGTTGTGAAAACATCTACGCGTTTCTCAGTGCGCAATTGCTGGACCAGTATGCTAAGTGCTACGAACATAGAACTCCGATCTGATCCGTAGCTACAGTGCACGACCAGCGAGCCGCTCGTCTCAGTGTCATTCGTCAATGTCTGATCTACTAACTCAATAAGACCGCGCGTCACCTCAGGTACTTCACCTTCCACCGTCGGCCAGCCATGATATTGATATTGCTTTACGACTCCACTCTCGTCAGTTTTTGTGTTCAAAATGCAAAACTCGCGACGCGTGTAATATGGACAACTCTCACTATGGATGTAACGGACCCTTATATGATCGTAATCGATTTCATCGTCAGGCCAGTAGCGTGGACACTTCCGCGGGCCTTCATTCAACTGAAAACGATGTTACTTATTTATTTTACAATACATCAATTTAGGCTTTGATGAATAATATTAGTGAAAATTAGTAGAAGCCTTTAAGAGCCAACACAAGTTATATGTGTGTATTTGAATATTTTTTATTATATTAAAACGCAAACATATACGAGTATACGTTTCGATCCTATTTTTGGATCCTCTTCAGTATGATAATTCTTAAAACTACGGTGTTCGCTAAAAATTATCTGAATGTAAATTAAGTCAAATTTAGAGTGAGTTAATATGGTCATACGCTAAGATTTGTCAAAATCGAATGTTGCGTCCACATCCTATCCTGTCCACGTATTCACCAAGTTCCAATTTACTACATGATGAAATTGAAATATAAGCAAATTTGAATTCCAATGACGGTACAATGACATTTTAACTACAAGTGCACGTGAATAAAGTGGTCGGATCAAACATTCTTCTGTCATACGTGTTTCATTAAACTGTCAGGTTTACTATATCGTGTCAAAAAAATTATTAAACTATATTACACGTTATAACAAAATAAATTATATATTAAATTGAAGTCTTACATAAAACGTTGATAACCGTCAAAATAACGTGTGAACTGTCTATTATAAACGTAATGGACATCAAACAAAGGAGAGGTATGTAAGTCAGATAGATAAATAAAGTGTAAATAGTAAAGAGAGGGAAACGTTATGATTCTCAGTCAGGGTCATGACCTTGACAACATATGTTAATATGTCATTGGAGGGGACTCTCCTAAACAGGATATTTACCGATTCCATAAAAACATTCGCATATATTGGATCGAGAGATGTGTTATTTATTTTATACCCAGTTATAATATTCATTCTGATGCGCGCCTAATCCATTCTTCTTTCAAAAATATCCATGCTTATTTCTTATTATTAAGAATTATGACTTTCGGGGACCTTGACACTTCTTTCACCCGATTATAAAGAATTTTGTATTTTTTTTTCGATATAATCTCAAGAAAATATTGACTGCATATTATTAGAAAATTGACATTGATTATATTTAAGATATTATTGTATTGATTAAATTATATAGGAATATATTGTTTATATGTACAAAGCAATGTCCATAAAAAAGTTTTCAATAAAAAAAAATATCACCAATTACTTCCTCAAAAATTTGTTGTATGAATTGCATACCATGTATATCATATTAACGCAATATTCATACAATTATATCACTTTTTCCACAAATTCAAAAAAATCAGTACTTATCTTTATTAAAAGCAACAAAGGCTGAAGGAAAAAAATATATATATACATGTACACTTACGTCAGATAACATAACTATTGTAGAGATGCATTGTTCCGAGATCATTCGCCAGAAATCCGTTATAGTGATCTCCAGCGGATCTTGCGTAATGACAAATGATTCGGAGTTATCGTAGCCTTCGATGAACGATGCGTTTATATACGTTGAATGTTCCTTTCCCGGAACTGGCGTGAGTATCACGCGATTTCTATCATATGGTATCACCAGTTCGCTTCTATTCTTTGATTTATTTTCGTCTCCGCCGCCGACAGAGAAGGATTTCCGATCTTCTAATACGGAACTAATTTTCTATACAAACAAAAATTATGTAAATATGATAGGAACTTTAGTCTCTCAACAAAATTTTTGGAGAAATTTAAAAATATAATGTGTTCACAAAATATCATGTACATTTCTAATATATTTTACCTACTTTATTGAATATTAATTGTTCAAAATGTATGACTTTTTCGCAAGTAATTCTTTCTCATCCACTACACAAATAGAACATGCCGATTGAAAAAAAAATTCAAAGGAGATTTACAAAATAAAAACGAGACAAACTAGTACAGCAAATATGTAATTTTGATATGAAGAATATTTGTAGAATAATTTTGGCATGTATGATATTTTAATTTGTAGATCTTAAATAAAGATAAAATTAAATGAAAAAAAAAGTATTTGTGACATTCAATTCTGTAACTTACATCATATTCTTCCTCCATCCTACACTTCTCCTTTCCATTGTCCCGCTGTCTCAATTTGGCGATTGTGGTTTTGAGTTGTGGTGCCGAAATCTCCGTGTCGCCGTACTGTGCCATCTCCATAAGCGCGCGATAGATGAAGATGTACTGCTTAAGTGATTGCACAAGAAAGTTGCGCTGATGCCGTAAGTCACACACAGTGTTGAAGATAGACACCTGGCCCTCCTCGGCCAATTGTTGCAGCAGAGAATCCAATGCCACGAGCGTACCGGTGCGACCCACACCAGCGCTGCAGTGCACCAGGATCGGCCCCTTTTCGAGCGAATATGCCTCATTGACGCGCTTGATGAAGCGTAAAATCGCGTGTGGATGTTCGGGGGCGACAAAGTCTTTCCACACAAGGAAGTGATACTGCACGATCGCGCGTGCATCGCGTTCGCCTAATCGCGTCATCTTCAATTCGCGCACTACATAGTCCGAGTAGGCACGCTCTTTAACGTGTTCCACTGTGATGTCACCAAAATTTTTGGTTTCGCGCTTGTCCGGCCAATACTTAGCGCACTTGGTCTTTGAATATTCTTCGAGATTTGTCAGCATAAGAATTAGCTCGAGATGCTGCTCCCAGATCATGCGCCAATAGTCGCACACAGTGTTCTCCATCGGGCCCTGGGCGCAGATGAACTTCTTGCGTTCCTTATAGCCCAGCACAAAGTTGGCATTGATGTAATCAGAGCCGCAAATACCGTCCATCTGCGCCAAACGTACTCTGGTCTGATCGTAACACTTGATGTCCGGATAACGATTCTTATATAGGTTCTCCTGTGCTTCGGATGCGCGTGTCGTTCTATCCGTGAATCGATCAGGTAGCAGTTCAAACTCGTGCTGGAAACCATAATCTGAGTCCCGATGGCGTTCCAAGTACGCCTGCAATAACTCGCTCTTAGGTATAGGCGGCATGTCCGGTGGACTCGCTGCCACCAGCTGATGCCTGCCTCTCAAACTCCTACAGAGATGTCTATGCAAAAATCCATCCATTAAGTACCTAAAATACTGCTTCTTCAAAAACTTCAAAAATGAGGTATTAATATTAATAATAAGAATTAAACATATAATATACATATAATAATATATAGGTATTATATATTTCTCATGTTTTATATATATATTCTATTATGTTTCTATATAACAAAACAGCTTTTATTTAAGAAAAAAAAAACAAGTCTTTTAAAAATATGACTATTAAATAAAAAAAGCGTCTATTATTTTAAAAAATATAAAACAACTGTTACATTAATTATTAAAATATAATTCATGTAATAAAATCTTTTATAAAATTTATGTATAATAAAAATCTTCTTGAACTCACCTGAAACTATTGCGGAGCGTTATAACTTCCTCTCTCTCTTGCGCACGTTTCGTAAATCTATATAACACACAGAGAGCGATAAATAGAATTGTGAGAGTTAAAATCACGGCGATGAAGAGCTGTATTATCATTTCTCTGATAGTAGTCGCTTCCGTGGCCATTACGCTGAGAGGATCCACTCCGCCGTAAAGAGGATTGAAATAACTGCTGTAAGCCGGTAAAAACTGATCCTTTTCATTATCGAACACTGCAAACAATCAATCATCACACAACGCACTATCAAATTTGAAGTATTTCACAAATCTATCGATAACTGTACATACCAATAACTTCGATAAAACCAGTATAATTCGATGTTTCATCAAGAAAACCATCGTAAGGCGATAAAACACTGAATTCTCCAGATTCGTCTATAGATGCCTTTTGCAGCGGCGCGTCTTCTCTCTTTCGTCTCTCTGCTTTTTCCGTGGCATTCATAATCACAGGCACGGCCGTTGTTGTGTCAATTTTCGTACTAGTAGTAGTCGTCGATAATGTGGTGGATGGATTAGAAGTTGTGCTGCTACCACTGCTACTTACAGTTGTCGTCAGCATCGATGTAATTGCCGTCGTGCTAGTAACGATACTGCTCATATTACTTGAAGTTACAGTGGTAGTTGATGGGATTTCCGGAACAAAGTGTAACAACGGCGGTGCTGATTTGGGTCGTAAACCGATGCATTTGTCGCACATAGCACCACCGTTAGACGACTCGCCGTCACCGAGAAAGATCTCGGTCAATAACTGATCGCTGTCGAATATCTCGGCAATATATGCACCACCGATAGGTGAATTATGCACATACTGATAAGAATATACCGCGATTTCCTCAGGTGATGGTAAATCACCGACCGTTTTATGCGGCGATAGTTTCACCAGGTAGACGCGGTAGCAGCAGATTGGACCGTTCCGTTCCGAGATACGCGGTAGATAGAGTTTGAACAACTGCCTACCCTGGCTTTCAATCTTCCGCCAGCTGCGCATGTTCATATTATCGCGACCCGGAATCGTAACTGGTGTCGTACAGTTTCCTATGGCATCCTTGCCAGAAGTGCGAGACCTTGTCACTCCGTGCACCCGAACCTTCGATCAAATGTTCATTTTTAGTACGAAAATTCATTTGATGTTAATAGATTTGCATAATAATCTCAAGTTAGAATCAATCAATCAATAATAGTGCAATAGCCCAAGTCACGATTTAAATTCCTTCCTCGAAGATTTAGTAACATTTGGAAATTTTTTCCTGAATTGTAATGAATAATGATGAAATATTACTGAATTGATTAATAATGTTGAAATATTATTGAATTCCATTAAGATTTCATTACAGTTCATTAAGATTTCATTACAATTCGTTAATATTTTATAAATAATTCAATACAAAATATTGTTATATTTAACTTCGCATTGGTACAAAAATATAATGCATGTACTAGAATACATGCGAAAACCATATACAAATGCAAATTTAATACATCTGCACATAATCCGAACTTATATAGATCTGGTTATATAGACAGCACGACTAAATTTTACATGCAAGAACCGACCACCATCTTGCAGCACTCCTAGAAAGATTAATTCAAAGCTTTTCGTTACAGTATTAACTGATTTCATCATTTTTCAGCAAATTTTATTACAATCGTTCAACTGTTAATTTTAACATTTTAATTATCCTGTCTCCATTTTCGGTAATTTTCATTAACAAATCTGCAAAAATATTGTATATTTCGTTCCCATTTCATTACTTTTCATTAATTTTTCTCATATATTCAGCATATTTTAGTGTACATTAAACTGTGAAAATATTATATGTCTTGTACCATTTTTCATTCTTTTTTTCATGCATTTTCAATAAATATCTTTACGATTCATGGTAATTCAATATAATTCAGTGCTCAATTTCTTTGAATATAAATCTATATAAATTTTCTTCAAATTTTCTTCTTTTTAATTTAAAGCTTTTTGTTACGATGTTAATTGATTTCATTATTTTTCAGCAGATTTCATTATATTCTTTCAACTATAAATTCCAACACTTTAATTATCCTGTTTCTGTTTTCGCGGTAACTTTTATTAATGAATCTGTAAAAAAAAATATTGTATACTTTGTTCCCATTTCATTACTTATCAGATATTTTTATTAATTTTCCTTAGAATTTATAATATTTTAGCATATTTCAGTATACGATAAACTGTAAAAGTATTATATGTTTGCGTTACTTTTCATTTTTTCCATACATTTCCAATAATTATCTTTAGGATACATGGTATTTCAGTTTAATTCAGTGTTCAATATCTCTAAATAAATTAGTATAAATATTAAATATTTGGATTAATTTTCATTATTTTTTATTACTCTTCATTAATTTTCATCAATTACCATTAACATCTATAGTCTTTTAATATTAAAAGTATTATTTGTGCCGAAATATTTTCAACAATATTTCAGTGATTCTCTTTTCTCATTTCAACGATTTCATTGTCGATTTCAATCACTTCAGTGATTTTTTTCCCACCAGGTAAGTTACTAGCTTACTGCTCAATCCTTCCGAAGAGTAATAAGTTGCATATATCTGTAGCATGTGCTTTTTTTTAGCAAATATATATATGAGATCTACAGTTTAACGTTGGTTTCGAACAGCCTATTAGGAGAGGTTCTCATAGCAAAAAGATATTCTTGGTTTGCTATTACTTTCCAAGAAAATGAAATATTTTTGGCTAAATTTCAACCTTTGACACAACTCTTTACGCCACGATTGCCATAGCAAATTAGAAATTATTCTAATTAATGAGGAATAACCAAGAAAATATTTTAATAAAAATAATAGATAGAAAGATGATTTAAGCTTGAATAAGTTACGTACCGTATAATTTGTATTAGGAGGTAACTTATTGTAATGTGTGCTGTTCCTATTATAGACACTCCAGCTGGGCGGTTCGAAACTATGAATGTCCAAACGTCCCATGTCATTCTTAAATCTTGCTATGCCGTTCAATTGTATGTTGTAGCGCTGTATAATGCCATTTGGCTTCTCCGGGGGTTTCCACGTGATGGACATAAAACTGAAGCTGCTTATATTGTTATAGCGACAAATAACGATGAGATTCTTCGGAGGGCTGGCCACTGGAAAAACAATGAAATACATTTAAATATTTACTAAACGAATAAAATAAATATACATATTTTTCCTGGCGCAGTACGCGCCGACGTACCTCCATCCAAAGTGGTGCCGTTTACTTCGGCACTCCAATTACCGCATTGTTTCGTGTATTCGCTGCAAGCAGCTATTTTGAATTTGTACGTGGTCGCTGGATCGAGATCTACAAACGCATACACGATAAACGGCTGAGCAGGATACACCGCTTCTCTCTTCTGATCAGCGTGAGTGGCTATCAGATTATAATAGTGCACATGTTCCTTCAAATCCGGTGGTGGCACGGTCCAACCTATTGTGATTGAATTATCTGTCACGCCATTCACGGACACTTTCGGCACAAATACTGGATCTGTAATATATTTTTGTCCTATATTAAATAAAATATCAAAAAGAAGTTTTAAGTGTGTGTCGGTTATATCAGAGATTTCTTGCTGTAGAGATCAAATGCCGTATTATAAAGATAATTATTTAAAATGTCTACATCTGTTAAATAATTTTACTAGTTATTTTTTAGTAGCTATAATTATCGCTCTTTTAATTTTACAAATTATAAATTATTAAATTAGAATTTTTACATTCTTTTATATTTCTTCTTAAAAATTTATAATTCTTTTTAGCTCTCAAGTAAAATCTATTTTTAAGTTGAATTAAACTTTAGGAAAGATGAATAGGAGAAATTTGTGATGTTTTTTTTCTCAGAAATACCTTTCTCAAGCGTGGTAATCCATCGTGGATCTAATTGCATGTGTGACGTGCCCAACGCATTGATAGCGCTGATGCCGATTTGATAAGCGGTGTCGCTTTCAAATCCCTTGAGAACGTAGCTCGAATTACCGCCACCAATCTGCTCGGCGTAATACTGGCGTTGATCCGTGCCCTTCTTCATGTGCTGGATGAAATACTTCTTAATCGGCTCGTTACCATCATTGACAGTCCAATTTAGGAATATGCTGCCGGCGCCGACCGCCTTCATAAAATCTATGCTGACTTTTGGCACATCGGTGACGAATAAATGTGTCAAGGCGCTCACTATCCCGTTGTAGTCGTTCGCTTGACACACATACGTGCCATTATCCTTTCGCGCTAAACTTTTGAATTCCAGGACTAAGACGGCGTAAGTCTCGTTTATCTGTGCAACGATAGTGAGATTCTTCAAATGTTCGCTGCTCTCTGAATTATTCCCTTTTAACCAAGTAAATTGGGATAATGGATAACCATGTATATGACACGTCAAGTTGGCTGCTTCCGACACTCTCGCCCTTACATTCTTGCCGGATGTTATCTTGCCGGGTTCTGGAAAACGAGAAACGATATTTCTTTCAACGAGAGTTTAACTCCGAAATTGACTTTTTTGTTATGTAATAATAAGTCCCTCTTTTGTTATGTAATAATAATGAAAGAGTATTATAAAATCCAAAATACGTGTTTCATAAACGCACGCTCGCACACGCGTAAAGATAAGATATTTAAATTAGCTCATTATTTACCTATCACTCTGATATGAATATTTTTTTCGAGGAATTCGCCGTCGACAGTCTGCGCGGAGCATTTGTAATCGCCCGTGTCGTTTCTGCTGGCTTTCTTTATGTCAAATCGTCCGATGTAGTCAAACTCATTGATAGTGCTGAGATTCCTGCCGTCGGTACTCCACCAGACTTGACCCGACACGTTCAGTTTGCACAATAGCGTTGGTGTGCTGCCTGCCTCTATACCCTCGGTATCTTGTGATGATCGAATCTCCAATGATGCGGTCCGCTCGGTCTTGGACTCTGCTGCTGCTACTTCCAACTTATCTATACCTATCGCAAGGAAATATATTTTTGTATCAATTCACGTAGATGCAAACAATAAATTTGAAATAAAACTCGAAATTATTTTAAACATAAGTTGGCATGTCTCCCGGAGATTCCCAACCTTTTTTGGGAGTGCTTTCTAGGTCTTCAAATGTTTTTTTATCATGACTTTATCATACATACTTTAGAATGTAATATTAAACAATAATACTTTAGCAATTAATAAAACTGGATTAATTATTGTAATATATCATAATGTTGCAGTAATATTGCAGAAGTGTCGCAGAAATATTCCTGCGATGAATTTTTTGCAGACATTTATTATTGTAGCGATATTTATAATATGTAATATTACTGCAATATTACTACAGTATATAAAAACTATTCGCAATATTGCAAAATATTAGCATAATATGTAGAAATATTGCTTAATATTACAGTAATATTACAAAAATATAGAAATATTTCTATGATGAATTTGCCGCGAACATTTAATATTGCAGCGATATTTATTCAATATTACTGGCATATTACCATGCAATATTACAGCAAATTTGTAATATTATTGCAAGATTACTACAATATTACATGCTGTGTAGATGAACGACCGTGTGTTCTTTTAATTGATGAATCCCTGTTATTTCTATTTCATTGAATCTCTGTCCATATGATGCAGGCCTTATTTCACCCGTAATTCCGTTATTTATTTTTTTTCGCACCGCGTTCGAAGATTAATAATATACATATTTTTTATTTCTCTTTGAAATGTTGCACTAGCAAGTATTTTGAGGAGGAAGACCAAAATTGATCAAAATCAACCAACCTCTCCCAAAAGAAATGACTGCGTTCAGCAGAAGAAACAGGGTACCTATCGTGGAACATGTTGGAATTCCGATCGGAATTATTCTATTTTCCCTAGAAAACACAATAGACATCATCTTAGGCCGGTATTCATAGTCAGTTCTTATATTGAAGACCGTCTTAAGTTCAGTCTTGAGATGTCACGAACCAATCAGAGGGCTGTATTAGCATCTTAAGACATTACTTAAGACGGTCTTGAAATAAGATTTGACTATGAATACCGGCCTTAGCCCGGATCCTTATCCAGACAACAGCGCTTTGATGACAGACACAGAGCGCTGATTGGTGAAAAGTTGGTTGTGGAGATAAAATTTACCTCCATCTCCCGTTTTTCACCAATTAGCGTTCGGTGTCAAAGCGTTGTTGCCCGTATGAAGATCCGGGCTTAAGCTGCCATTACATGGGAGCATCAAGCGTCAAGCATCTGCGCAGAACTTATTGCGCACGATTCTGAAACTTCTAATTCCAGCTTCTTAACGCAAAATAGTAAATTAAGAAAGGTTATGTTTTTATATACACTACTATCCTAACATACAATACTTAAAATTTACATTTGTTTACATTATATAATGTAATCTACAAGATTTCTCTATCAGTAGTGTAATTGAATCCAATGCATTTCAGTAAAATTATTCAATATGTCACTGCGCATGCTCTGACGCTCGACGCTTTCATGTAAAGACACCTTAAGGAATAGTCGAATAATTCCAAAATCTAGGAAATAATTGAAAAATTCCGATCGAAATCCATTCCGATTTGTTTCGTGATAGGTGCCCTGATCAGCAAGCACTCAGTGATTTTTTAACATGATTGGTTCGTACATCTATATCCGGCGAAGAAGTAAAAGAACCAATCACATTAAAGAATCAATAAGCACTTACCGATCAGTTTGCTCTGCTTAACGCAGTCGATGGCTGCGTTCAGCAGAACGTTTGTTTTGCAACTGTTGGAAGTTTCTTTCGCGCTAATTGGATCATACTTTTAGATCTAGAAGAATGGTCCTATCTCAGCAGACAATCATAAAACGGTTGCAAAACTGTTGAGTCTGCTGAACGCAGCCATTGGTCCAGTTCAAAACTATGCATGCTTGCCGAGCGAATGAGCATGATTGGTTCTTATCAGTGGATCCAACCAATCATGTTTAATTGCTCAGCGAGCAGACTTAGCCGCTTTGTCGACTTGAACGCGTCCATTGTTTTAAATCGCATGCACGTACGTAGTTGTATTATTTTTAACTGAAAGTTACTAGAAATTGTTTAGTGCGTTCGCTGTGCTCTCTGCGACTGAGTTGCAGTTTCTTTGATATATTTGTATAAAACAAGCAATAATAAAATCTTATTTTTTAAAATTTGTTTTATATAATCACCCGGTATATTGTATTGTATATTATTCATTTTATTATCTTTTTCATTTTTGTTTTGGTTTGTATGTCTTATACCTATCTACGCTGAAAAAAAATTTTTGGTTGAGAATGAACCAATCAGAAGATTCTGGTTAAATCATATGAATCAGAATTCTGGTTATCTCAACCGAAATTATAATAGATTCAACTTTAGAAAATTCTAATTTCCAACTAGAATTCTAATTACTGAAACCAGATGTAGTAACTAAACCCTTCCAATTGTATCTCTCGACTCAATTTAGAATTCCTCGTATAATGCTACAAAACGGAGGAAAATATCGTAAATGGCAGATTCAGTCCTCGTGCATCTCGCAGAATTATTTTCACAATGTGTCATATCCAATGCCAACGACCGCCTCCGCGTGTTTCACGCACACACACATGTACCACCTACGGTTATACCACGCATTATATACACGCGCCTGTCTACAAATTCTCACGTATACGCGGATATATACGTAACGTTTTAGTACAGGATTGATGCGCGCGCGCGTGCATATATTTATACACATACAAATGATACACACATCGATCGATGGTAAATGATAACGCGAGTATAATATGCGATAATATACACATTCGATAAATGTAGAATGATCCTCCTTATCTAAAATTTAATCGAATGGCGCGTGTTATCTCGTTAGTCTTGCCTAATTTCAAAATTACTATCCCGTTTAACGCATCGAGATTCTACCCCAAGACAAGATTTATCCAAAATTCTCACAAAAATTAAATCTTCATTATCCATATGCATCTATTTCTATAGTGTAATTCGTTATAATTTGTTCTGAAATAATAAATGCTCGAAAGCAGTCAATATTTGGAATGTTTTTTAAGATCGTTTTTCTCGTGAGCAATATTATCACGAAACAATCACGCCTATTAATAAACAGTCTATATACATACATATATAAATACATACATTTTCCTAAACCAGTTCAATGCCGCTGCTCGCGATTCAAGTATACATATCTACGCGAGCAGTTATTTTCATTCACGAGCCACAAAGTGGATTCTTGTGGAGTTGACGTATTAAATGAAGACTCCTCTCTTCTGTCTAATTCTCGACAACCACCTGATACATAATTAACGCCATTAAAAACATACATCACCGAGTACAGGACGATTATAACGAATTTTGGTCGACTTAATTGCCAATATGTTATACGGGAAACAGGTTGTGTATGGTACGCGACCGAACGATACACGCGATGATCGCGAGATCGTGACACCGAGTAGATGGGCGTTTGAGTTTAGCTGGAATCAACATCGGAATTAAGTTCTTCGGCGAAGTGAGGCAAGTTCCATCCGTTTAGTCATAGGCGAGTTATCTCTACGGGTGAAACAATAGCACCAGTCACGCTTTCCTTATATCAAGAAACAAGGAAATCTATCTAAAAGTGAATTTGCAATCACTCGAACTACACTGGATTAACTACTACTGGATTAGTACACATTAAAGGCTGCTTAAATATAATATGTATGTATGTATGTTCCAAAAGTTTCCGAACTTTCTTCGTACGAACAGCATTAATAGCGTTATTTATATAAATAAGATTGTGTGTGCATTATTTTCGTTGAAGTTTCGTTTACAAATTTTGTAAGTTGAATTAAGGTCTCTCCAACAGTTATTTTATTACAAGTATATAACCGACGATACCTTTATGATACTCGAAAAATCACAATGGAGCAAAAAGCAAATATCAAATTATAAAACAAGATTATTAATGGAAATTATTACTTGGATATTATAAAACGTTTGCTGGCAGAAATTGATTGAGTTCAATACCGAATGCAAGACAACTAATCGCTTCTGCATGCATAACAATACTCCGGTTCATAAGTGCTTGTTTCGAAATCAGTTCTAGTCTTTGATCATTTCCCACATTCACCAGATTTGGCATTACATGACTATTTTTTCTTCCCGAAATTAAAAATGAAGCTAAAGTAAGAATAATTCGACCTTACTTAGGATATTCAAATGGTTTCGACCAAGGCCATTTTGATCATTTCAAAGGAAAACTTTCAGCAGAGTTTTCTAAAACTATACGACCGTTGCAAATATTTTTCGGAAAGGACATACTTTGAATAATTATAAATAAAAATTTATAATTATTACTTTAGAGTGAGTTATAATGAAAGTTCGGAAACTTTTGGTTCGGAAAGAGCCGTGTATATCTAAATGCAGTGGCATAATTCAATCAACTTTAACAATAAAATAATGTATGTATATTCTCCAGGGTTGGCAAAAACCCAGTTTTTTTCCAGAAAAACCCATATTTAGGGGGTTTTTGTGGGTTTGCGTTCTAGGACTTTAATACAGCCATCTATTGTTTTAAAATCGTAGTATCTGTTCGACAAAAATATAATCTCAAAAAGTCATCCAACAGATACTATCAGGATTTAGGACTAACATTTTATTAATATCATTTATGTTAAGCAATCATAGCAGATTTCCGATTAATTTATATTATAGATAAAAAAACTAGCTAAAAACTAGTTTAATTCTTAATGTATGTTGCAATAAATTATAGTTTATTTTTAAAGATCCAATAAACGTTGCTCGTGTCTTTTGGCCTTTCTAATTTTTACTTAGCAATCTCGAGCTAGATATTTTACACATTTCAACTTATTTGCACGCACGTCGTACAATGCGTTCTAATAACTTTCCATTTAAATTTCATCGTTATTATTTTGATTTATCAATACTTCGGTGATCATGAGGTTTTAACTTTGAAACGTTGGATTGATATTAATTGTAAACTTATTAGAGCCATATCGCGCAGGTACATTTTTTTAAATTATGTATTTCTAATGTTTTTCCATCACAGTTTTCTAATAATTTGTTTTACAACTTACAATTTAAACATCATAGGACGAATTAAAAATTAGATAAGGTACTATATTATTCAAAGAAAAAAAATTTTTAATTAGAAATATTTGATACACATAGATCAATACATTCTCTTAGTAGACAATTAATGTTTTTTTTCATCTCATTTATCAAACGTATTACCACAGTTCCTAAAAAAATTTTTAATTAGAAATATTTGATACACATAGATCAATACATTCTCTTAGTAGACAATTAATGTTTTTTTTTTCATCTCTTTTATCAAACGTATTACCTCGGTATGTTTTGAATAATTTGGTAAAACATTATTCGGTTTCTTTTGAAAACTTTCGAAAAAGACTGCTTTTTCTCAATCCAACAACGAAATAGTTAAACTCACTTGACAATAAGATGATATTAAAGATTTATCAATCTTATATAATTTTATTCGTAACATTAAATGTATTATGTTTAATCTGTGATATGATTTTATATAATTTTATTCGTAACGTTAAATGTTCAACCTGTGATATGACTTCATATTTTTAATATATTGTATCTTTCTTTCCAATGTTTAATTATAATTAAACTAACATAAATGAATTGAAATATATAAAAATAAAATATCTAGCTCGAGATTGCTAAGCAAAATTAATAGTTAGAAAGGTCAAAAAACACGAATATTTTTTTTTAATTTATTGAGTTTTTGTTTAAAATGTTTTGTGTTGTGTGAAGGTATATTAATATTATACAAAACAATGAGAGTGACTCCAAAAAAGGGATCTTTTTCGCCCGTTTTTGGGCCCTCAATGTTTGGACTTCCAAATGATACTCTACAATGAGATATTAATTACAAAGAAGTTTCAGGTTGAGGTGATAATTGTTATCATAGCTGGATGGGGTGTTACGTATATTACGTCCATGCAAAAATCCAATTTTTTTACATTCAAAGCGTCATTTAGCCAAATATTTCATGGGCAGGTAGAGCGGACTAAATTGAGTCAAAAAGTCCTCTACCATTTTGTAATTTTCGCAATAGTTAATAAGATATTAATTACTAAACATTACCGAAAATTGATCTTCAATAATTTTTTATTCAAATACTATCAATTTTACAGAAAAACTGCAAGAGACAAAATTTGTTTATTTTCTTTTCATATGTATTTTATAAAATGCCTAAATATCTCATTTTGTACGGAAAAAATTCCGGATTTTGTAAAACCTCCGAATCTCGCATTACTGCCAGACGTGCTCTTTTTTCCACATGCTCTTTTCCGGCTCTTGAATCCCATGTCTCCTCGAGTAATATGCGAGTAGAGGAAAAATAAAAACACTTTTCTTATGTAAATTCAAATTATCGATTGATTTGTAACTTGATCGATTATTGAGCCGTTATTGACAACATCTGATAATCTCGAGTGCTCGCGTATAATAGATACACGGCCCGGTCTCGGGAGTCAGTCTAATCGATTGATTTGACACTACTGTGTTTCCTGGTACATTTTATTATAAAAATATTTCAAACAAAGACCTCTCTGCGAAAGACATATCTATCATCGAAATTTAACTTCGAACGCAATTATTTCTCATTCCACCTTCTCTTAGCGAGAGAGGGGGGGGGAGTAGAGGGGGGAAATGGGGATGGGGGAGGGAGAGATCCAAGGAAACTGCATGACAATCGTTGATATTTTTGCTTATCGCTGAGTTTTTCGTAGAAAAGAAATCGGAGCGAGTTTCCTTTCCTGAACGTCCCCAGCTTCTCTCTCGCGTATTTTCACTCTCGATGCGATTTGTGAACAGAGCGTCAAAGTGCAACCAAGGCTATGTTCAGATTCTCACCCGAATGGCATTCAGGTATCACTTCATCCTTGTTATTTATCAAACATTAAACAAGGATGACATGACATCGAAGGAGTACCTGGGTGAGAATTCGACCATGCCCTAAAACGAGCATCTGTGGATGCTCTGCAGACTGCACGGAGGCGCGTTCCGTCGCGCCTCGTTGCACTTTTCTTCCTCCCCTCCCTTTTCCTTTACTCACCGGACTCGTCGACGCCGGCTGTGCCGAGCACGAGGAGGCACAATAGCAGCGACGCCAACGACGTAACACCGCCGCTCCAGAATAACATGGCGGTCGGGTGGACGCCGTGGACGAACGGACAGCCGTGCGAATGTGCACGTCGGCGAGAATCGTCGCCAACGCTCACCTTTCGCTCCTTCCTAATGGGCCGATAGTACTGATAGTAGTAGCCAAGCCCCCTTCCACCGCTACCCCACCTAACACACGCTTCCTGCGTCCACGTCGCCCTCACCCCTCTCGTATGGCGCGTCGACCACCCTTTATCCGGGGTACCCCCGCCCCGGTTTCCGCGATGCCGCTCTCACAAGTCTTCCATGGTTCGTGCATGCATCGCCGCGGAATATCTGCAGGAATCTTCGTGTACCGCTTTGCCCGTTCACTCGATCATTGCAATGCCGCGCACGAAAAAACGTGTGTCACGGCTCGTTGCAACGCGTCGTGGATCGGCGGGATTCTACCCGTGATTCATATACAGCGTATCGCACACGCTGCCACGCACAGCGTATCAGTGAAACGGTAATTGACAATCGGACGATGAGCGCTCGCTCCCTTGCGACGACGACGGTAACGACGACGACGACGACGGTGGCAGTGACAATTCACCTCTTCATCACTTCACCTCGTAACGGTGCGCTAGAAAGACTGACATCATGCGCAAGTCAGCGCGCGCCGCTCGTGATAGGTGTGCGCCGCGCGGGGATTGGAAACGGAATCGACAGGGATAGAGTAGGGATTTCTCTCCCGGCGCGCGGCCGGCGGCGACGTGTTCCGACTCCCGACTGAGATCAGTACATATTATGGCACCCTCTTGTCAATGCCAGGTGAAAGGGTAAGACCGTTCGTTGATCTCGGGCATCTCGGCCATGATGTGAGTACATACGTACTGGGTACTTGCATCCTGAGACTGCATGTTCAAATTCCCCGGGTGCTATTGATGTATTCTTCTAGATCTAAAATTCTGATTGGATAAGTTAAAAGAATACACCAATAATAGCAAGCGCTCACTCAACTGTTGAGTCGCTGAATGCGCCCACTATAGTATGCGTTACGTATACTATAACATATCCCTAGTTTTTCGTATGCGATACTTTTCAGAATAGGAGCCCTGGGTCTCTATTCTTGAAAAGTATCGCATACGTAAAACTAGGGAAATATTATAGCATATATTACGTGCACTATAGAATTTCCCTAGTTTGTCGTTTGCGATACTTTTCAAGAATAGGGCCCCAGATCTATACTTTAGAATCTGGGTATAACTGAAGAATCGCAGAAAGATAAATACACAAAATTTGTACATAAACAAGGTTCTAAATTTACTGCGCAGTGGAGATGAATCTGAAATTGAAGGTTTGAATTCCGAAGATGAGCTTGAAAATCAACCACCTACACAAAATGTTGAAAATATAAATGTCACTTCAGGGTACCGATCATGAAACTTAAATATAAATGGTTGAAAAGCAATATAAAAATAATATTATTAGAAAATTATTTTATAAAAATACTAAAAGATTTTGACAAAAAAATTTTTATCACTATAAATATATAATTATATTTATATTTGTTTGTAAATTAACCTATTTTGCGAAAAATCAATTTTTCCAACCAAGATGGTGCCATTTTAAACCGATATCTTTACAAAGAATCGTTTCTTTTTCAACAAGGTTAAAAGGACTTTTTCTTCGAATCGATATAATCTCTGCACTTCTGAATGCATCCATTATCTGTACTCGACGCCATTTTGGCTCCAAAGATACGTCACTTCAATTTTCCCATCGCGGTATTTTGTTATCTAGTGACTTTATCGCGCTCGTATGTCATATTTAGGCTACGTTCCACTTAACGCTCGCGAGCATTGTTTGTCCTTGTTTAACATTTGATAAACGACAAAGATGAAATGATTCCACGAGCGTTGTGAGCGTTAATTGGAACGCAGCCGTAATGGCACCCTCAGTGAGCGGTTGTAATACCCCGCACATCATTTTAGATTTCAAATACGTAGCAGATACATGAAATTTGAAATGTTGCTATATAGCAGATACATAGCAATACGTATCAATTATATACCAGATACATGTTTAATACCGATAAATGTCCGCCTATAGATATGTAATTTACTTATATATCAGATACATAAAATTTGCAATATTATAGCTATATAGCAGATTCGTACCAGTATGTATAAATCATGTATCAGATACGTATTTAATACCGACGAATTTGGGTGGGACCCGTTTGACCACGTTGCGATTGACCACCAGCCACTCATAGCGGTCGGTGTTTAGAATTTTTTTGTTGTACAAGCGCTGTGAGTGGCTGGTAGTCAATCGAAACGTGATCAAACGGATCCTACCCATGAATTTCCGTGCTATAGGTACGTAATTTACATTATATACTAAATACATTTAACAATATGTATTCTTTCCATATTAAATACATAAATTATGTATTTGATACATATTACTAATATTGCAAATACGTGTTCAAAATGTATTATGTACATATGTATTATATAAGCCATTTACAGGCCAAAGTGGATAATTCAAAGTGGATAATTATATATACTATATAAATAAATATGATTCTCCTTGAAATAGGAAGATAATTTTCGATATATTTTATCAATTTATCCTATCAATTGCAAATATTGTTTTATTGAAAAATACTTCTATTCAAATATAATTCCAAATATAAATTCAAGTATAATTTATAAGAATTTGTACTGTTTCCTCTTCTGACGTCACAATTTGAGACAGTAGTGAATGAACAGGAACTTTAAATCATTTTAAAACAGATTTATATATTTATCAGAATTTGAATGAAAATCTAGAATAAAATAATATATTGCCCTCATCAATTTTATACTTAAGATTGTTATCACAATGTAATATTAAAATTAAAATATATTATATATCATATTTTATCATGTTATTTATTAAAAAACAAAAATTTTATGGTGTACCTTAGATAGATAGATACTGCAAAAATTGCTATTTAATAATATTAACATATAAATAAATTAGATTTTTTTAATTTGTACGATAAATAATAATTTAATTATTAAATATCAATTTGCTTTGCCTTGATGATATATATTATCAACTAGATCCATTTTTGATTGGATACCCATAAGCTCAATATCTACTCCTTGTAACGCCCAATTATGTTCACAAATTTCCAACGCTTCCCATTCAGACTTGAAGGCTGCTTTTGGATCAGGTGGCATAGACATTGCAGCTCCTGATACTTGATCTTGTACTACTCTTGTAGTATCTGCAGCATTATTTTCACCAAGTACAAGTGTATAAATAGACCTTAGTCCAAATACATTGAGGAAATACCACGAGGCAGAAGAAACCCATGCAGCATCCAGCGTAACTAATTCTATACCCCGTTGCAACATTGGCTTGAAACGTAGGGTTAATGGAAATGGCACTTTAGCTGGAATTAAAGCATTTATGTTAAATTATGTGTATATAATTTGATAATAGTTAAAAATTTAGTTAAAAGTCCAAAGTTTATTTGAAAAAAATTATACTTAATAGATTTACAGTAAATATAAGTGTTCAACAATATTTCAATGCTACATACTTGTTACAAATCCAGAGAACATCCAATTGATCCAACCACCTATTAGTACCATAGGCAAGACATTAGTCACATTTCCCTTCAGCATTTCAGTCATCATATTTGGATCAGTCATAGGATTTTGAGAGACAGGAGGACGCTTCTGAGTCTTAAAATAACCAGTCTCTTCGTTGTTGAAGAAATGTCTCCTAGTCATAAAACCTACTTTCGGTATGTACTGTCCATTCTCCCGGAGCAGCCTGGAGCGTATCATGACTTGACTGCAAAATATTTAATGTTATAAATAATTTCAAGCTTGAAATCTCCAAGTTAATCGACACATGTTTAAACGTTTACCTATCTTGCACTTGATGAAGCTCGACCTTCTTTTGCGAAGCAAGTAATATTGAAACATAGTGGCGGATTATACCGACTAGAAACGTGATCACTACTATAGGCAAGAATACCCAACCACGGATATTTGGATCCAGCAATAATTCTGCCATGTCAGCTATTTCTGCCGCGTAAATCCGTAATTCCTATTTTTGAGAACCAGCGAGGACGATAACAATGGATAACGAAAAACGGAATAATGTAGAACCAGAGAAAAGCCTGCAGGTGCGATTACATGTAGCGCGGTACGCGGTACAGTAACTAAAGGTACCATTACATGCAAGCGTCGAGCGTCGAGCATCTGCGCAGAAGATTACTGCTGATTACTGCGCAGAAGTTTGAATCTCCAGACTCCTGTATAATAATCTGTACAGCTTCTTGATGCAAAATGATAAATTATGAGAGGTTATGTTCTGATATACATTACTATCCTAACATATAATGCTGAAAATATATATTTATTTACATTATATATAGTGGGTGCATTTAGTACTACAATCTCAATGAGCGCTCAGTGAGCGCTTGCATTTTATTGGCATATTCCGTTAGAACTAAAAATATAGACCAAACCAAGAAGACTAGAACCAGGAGAGTCAACTCGCGTGGTGGGGGTGAGTCAAAAAGCGTCACCCGCTGCTTACCCCCAACCCCTGTTGAGGACGATGCTCAGTAGCTAGGGTAAAGGAATTTTAGCTTCTATTGTTTTGATTGGTCAAATTTCAATCTTTCAATCTTCAATCTCAATCTTCAATGCTTAGTCTGATTCTGGCCTAAGTTGGAAGCCTGTAAAGTTACTAGGCTGACTAAGTTAACCGAAGCTTGGTGACAATGGCCCTAAGAAAGCATTTTCGCCTTTTAGTAGCTTGAAAATAAACAATTAGAGCGAAAAAGCTATCTGTCTTTCTCGTTATTTCATTTGCTCGCGCCGAAGGCGAAAAGGATAGTCTGCTGTTCAGTATTTCAGTGGGTGCATTCAGTGCTACGACCGCTCACTGAGCGCTTGCATCTTATTGGTATATTCCGTTAGAACTAAAAATATAGACCAAACAGAACAAGAGCTCACTGAGCGCTCAGTGAACGGTCGTGGTACTGAATGCACCCAGTGTAAACTACGGCCGGGATTCATAGTCGAGTCTTTTTTCTAGACCGTCTTTAGTAACGT